AAAAAAGAAAGTGCGTGAGGTGATTGATGGTGGTGTTAACTCAGGGTGGGTATCCTTCCACAATGTATATGTGTATCAAATCATCATTTACAATTTTACCTCAATAGAGCTGAGAAAAAATAGCTAATATTTTTTGTTAAAAGTTTTGTTAAAAAGTTAAGTATTTATATTTAAATAAGAGCTGAATATGAAAATAAAATCTACACTGAAACAAAACAAAAATGTTCCACAGTGAATATCTTATGCAATGAAGTATGTACCTTGGCATTAACAACTGAACAAAGAATTGACTGCTTCAATTTTAAAAACCTACAAAAGGAGAATCTGAAAAATGTATAAATTATTTAAAATCTAGAACTGGGGCCTCCCCGGTGGTGCAGCAGTTGAGTGCTGGATTGCAAAGCTGCCCGCAGCCTCTGCAGTGTTGGTTCGATCCTCGGCCACCGGCTGAGGGTCCCACATGGGGCGCAGACCTCTCCTGCCGCGCCCGCTGCTCCCCTCAGCAGTGTACTTCATCGGTCTGCCTGTTCTGTTCCCTGCTCTGGCTCTGGTGAATTCTCTCACCCTCCCGCACTTCTGACTGTACCCCGTGCTTGTATAAATAAATAAATAAATCTTAAAAAAAAATCTAGAACTGCTGTTTGTTCAAAAAAGTGACAAAGGTAATAATAACTTTCACCCCTAAAGAGTTAGATTCAAAGTGAGTCAGTTTAGTGTGCCTATGTCTAATTGGGAAAAGAGAGGCTACTTTACCTGCTAAAGTTGCTTGTCTCCATTTGGCTCTAGAAATAGCATTTGTGTCCTCAAGAGCTATAGAGGTAGTTTAGTCCCTGCAGGTTAGAGCTGGGATTCGTTTTCAGATGAGAGGTACAGAGAACTTTACCTGTTCTGACCACCTGCAAAGATGATTAGAGAGTAGATGACTTAGGATTTTGAAAGGATTACAAAGCAGCCACAAAATACTTTTGGATACATTTAATAATAACTACTGAATACCATTGTCCCATTTAGTAAAATTGCATAAAAGTACCCAGAACTTAGTGGTTCAAAACAACTACTTTATGGCCTCCCCGGTGACGCAGCAGGTTGAGCGAAGCACCATGAAGTTGTCTGCAGCCTCTGCAGAGTGAGTTTGATTCCCAGCCAGCCAGGGAGCTACCCACATGACATGGCAGACCTGTCCTGTCTCCCCTGCTGCTCCCCTTAGCAGTGTTTTTGGTCTGTCTGCCTGTTCTGTTCCGTCTCTGGTGAATCCTCTCACCCTCCTGTGCCTTTGGCCTGTACCCCAGTTCTTGTATAAATAAATATATCTTAAAAAAAAAAAAAAAACGGGCCTCCCTGGTGGCGCAAGGGGTTAAGCACCACACTATGAAGCAATCCACAGCCTCTGCAGCACGAGTTTGATCCCCAGCTGGCCAGGGAGAAAACCACATGGCGTGGCAGACCTCTCCTATCTCTCCTGTTGCTCCCCTCAGCAGTGTATTTCAGTCAGTCTGCCTGTTCTGTTCCCCACTCTGTCTCTGGTGGATCCTCTCACCCCCATGTATCTCTGGCCTGTACCCCAGCTCTTGTATGCATAAATAAATAAATCCTTAAAAAAAAAACCCACCTACTTTATTATGCTCAATTATTCCATAGGTCAGGAATTTAGAAAGAACTTGTAAGTTCTCACCTGGAGTCTCGTGCAGTTGTGGTCACATATTGCACTTGGGCCTTAGTATCTGAAGCCCTGATTGGGTGAGACCTCCAAGCTTGCTCTTGAATATGGTTAGTAGTGGATACTATTTGGTAGTGTTCAGCTGGGGTTGACACCCTGAATGCCTGTCCATGGCTTGGCTTCTTCACAGTATAGAAGCTTTGAATTAATTGGATTACTAAGCTAGTGGCTCAAGACTGTAAAATCCAACAAGCAAAAGAAACCAAACTGCCTTAAAAGTCATATAGCATCACTTTTTCTGGATTTTTGTTAATTATAAGCAAGTTCTAAAGGCCAGTGCGAGCTCAAGGAAAAAGGAGAAAGAGGGGCCTCCCCGGTGGCGCAGCGGTTGAGCGCTGGGTTGCGAAGCTGCCCGTGGCCTCTGCGGCGCCGGTTCGATCCCCAGCTGCTCCCCGGCCACTGGAGGAGGGTCCCACATGGTGCGCAGACCTCTCCTGCCGCCCGCTGCTCCCCTCAGCAGTGTACTTCGGTCCTTCTGCCTGCTCTGCTCCCTGCTCTGGCTCTGGTGAATTCTCTCACCCTCCCGCGCTTCTGACTGCACCCAGTGCATGTATAAACAAAAAACAAAACAAACAAAAATTAAATAAATAAATAAATAAAGCATGCCTCTATTAAAAAAAAAAAAAAGGAGAAAGAACCCATCAATTCATGAGAGGAGTGTCAGAGAATATGAGAGCATGATATTGTAAAAACATTGCAACCAGCCCTCATGATAGTGCTCTGTTGATTGGGGGCCTATTCCTTGCTAACCATAATGTGTATTATACTTTCTTATTCAGTTTTTTAAACTTGTTTCTAATTTTTTTGATAAGAGATCCATACTGACTAACAAGTAGCAACAATCCTAGGGGGTAACCGAGGTCTTTAATTGTGTTGATTTACACATAGTCTGTATATGCATCCTTAAGCTTATTCTCCTTTCTTTATGATAATTCCAACATCTATTTCCTTACATAAGTAGCCAGATGTTGTTCATGTTTTGAATAGTGGTCTGGTAAGTTGGCTGTCAGTCATCAAGCCTCTGTAAGTATTGAAAGCTAAAAGCTGCAGCACAAGTAATTAAAGAGAGAGAGGATGGAAAAGTAATTGAGAGAAGATCTGATAGAATAATGAAGATTTAACAGGAGAAAGAGGTTGGCAAGATGCTTATGGTAGGTGGTTTGGACCTAATTGTAGTTTCTAAAGCCTATTTTCAAATTTACAAAGCTTATACATTTTGTGACTATGCAGTTATTCAAAATGACTTTGAAACTCTGGGCATTAACTATTGTGATACATGAAATGTAATGACTAAGAATGATATCCTCTGATAATAACACATGTATCCCTCAGCATTTCTATTCAATACATATCGCTTTCATTTTCTGAACTAAAAAGAAAATGACTCAAAATGACTGCAATGAATCAATGAGAATTTTGCTCCTGAAACTCAGTCAAAACAGAGTATAGCCATAATGGTATCTTCCCATATCCATGTCTTACCTGCAAAATCTGCCATTATGAGCAGTATTTTTTAGTGAAAAGCTTAAGAGTTGCTACTAATGAAACCCCTCAAACCTGATCATCCAGTCTTTCTTCAATCTACAAAAATTTCTTTAACCTTTTCAATGTCTAATTACAATGCTGCCATGCTGGGGAAAGGGTGGTGGTAGTGGTGGGTAGGTACTTTAAATTGGTTAACTCAACTTCTTTCCAACAATAGCTAGCCTTGATGTCACTCACCCAGATTCAGAATAGTTATTTCTACCTGCCCTCAGTGCATGTTCCACGTTTGTAAAGCCCTGGAACAAATGAAATGACTTCATTGCTTCTCAGATATTCTCCAGATATCCTGAGAATTGCAACTGCTCCTTTTGAATCCAGTAGAGTATCCAGGCTACAAAACCTTATCATAGATAGACTGACAGACAGAGGACAAGCAAATGCATGAGCACTGCTAAAGGGAGCCAGGATGCTCATGGGGAGAGTGACTGGAAGTGCCCAGGCAGCATTGGCTGCAGACTACAGGCAATTCTGGGTATAAAATTTATGGAAATATAATTTGTCCAAAACCAATTGCAGTAGAGCATGGAAGTAGACATTTGAGAAATTAATGAAATACTTCTTGGAGTTGGGTAGGAAAGAGACAGTAAGGCCTGTCAATCACTTGGAAGAAGACATTTTTGCCTCTTTCTATATTGCTCTATAGACCTGACTGTTGGGTCTTATTTATGTAGAATATAAAATATTTTTCAAAGTTTCATATTCTTCAATGTGTACCAGCTCACCACAGAGAATCATATCCCAGATTTTGAAACTATGAAAGTTTAAGATGAATTCTTCCAATTGCAGCATGTGTGTGCTCATCTCTGATAGGGGCGCGTTCTATTTATGGGGCTGGAGGGCAGTTCCTGTCTCCTGCATTCACATAATTGGTAGACTTGATGCCTAGGGAAAGGATTTGGAAGATTAAAGTCTTTACTTGTTATTTACACAGAAGGGAAGGGAGAAGTTCAAGCTGTAACCTCCTGGTAAATTGAGGGGCCTTATCCATATCATGCAGAGGTGGGTGCGAAGGGATTAGTTTGATAATCATCTTTCTCTAAGCTGTGCCTTTTTTATCAGCATTTTGCTGACAAGTGTCAAACTCAGAACTTTAAATCTCCCACTGCAGATACCATAGGTAAAAAGGTAAAAGAGAGGTGTCTCCTGGTTTAGGTCCAGCAATAAGGACAGCAGTCCTGTGCAGGGACCAGGAGCAAGTCAGGGAGAATGCTTTTCAGACCAGAGACTAAACATGGGCTGTGGACTCTTTAGGTGTAACTGATGGGTCTGCATTTGTACTCTCCCCAAGCAAGAGACTAGCCACTATTTTTATGTATGCCTAGAAATCCTTATCACTGAAATATCCTACAATCAAAGATGAATTTTTAAAGAAAAATTGATTTCTTCCTAATTCTAGATGCATATACCTATACAGGCATACATACATATATATATTTAATATTTTAAATGTAGCAAACATAAATATTTGGCAATTTCCTTGTTTTTAAAGACAGGACTTGAGTAGTATTTTGTGGCTTTCTCTTTTTCTTAGTAACTCTGTGTGCCAGTTATACTGAAGCTTTATAGAGAATCCATATTTTGCAACCTGAACCTGTGATCTATGCTTCTGAATGAGTAAAATAAAATTCATGGGGTTACTTTTTTCTCAAGCAAAGCATGAAGGAACTGCATGAAAGAAGAAGATACACTTCTTATTTAAAGAAAGTTGTGAAAACATAATTATAAGTAGTAGCTTTATTACCATATGACCCAGCAATTCCACTATTAGGTATCTACCCAAAAGACACAAAAACACTGATTCAAAAGAACACCTGTATCCCTACCCTATGTTTACTGCAGCACTATTTACAATAGGCAAAACCTGGAAACAACCCAAATGCCAAAAAATAGATGACTGGATCAAGAAGATGTGGCATATATACACAATGGAATATTTTTCAGCAATCGAAAAAGATAAACTCATGCTATTCGCAGCAACATGGATGGAACTAGAAGGAATCATGCTCAGTGAAATAAGCCAGAAGGAAAAAGAAAAATACTGGATGGTTTCACTTATAGCAGGAATATAGGGAAACCAAATAAGACATCAGTGTAAAAAAAAATAACAGTACAAAACACAACAAAGCAAAAACAGACAATTATAAATCAGAGACATCCTGCAGGGGAGGAGGAGGGAGAGGGATCAGAGGGAGGGAGGGAGGAGCACAGGGGACTGAGGTGATGGTGCACGGGTGCACTGGTGAAGGAAACTCTATGGGGACTACACCTGAGGGGGTGGGGGTAAGCAAATGTTGTTTGAAAATAAGCAATGATGTAAAAAACAAAAAAAAATTTAAAAAAGGTGGTAGATAGAAAAAAATAAACTAAATAAAAATAAAAGAAGTCAAACACACAAAAAGAATAAGTAGTAACTTTAAAAACAAATTTAACTCTTATCCACATCTAGGAAATATGATACGAATAGTGTGGCTTTGTCTCCTAGATCAAAGGATATTGGGGAAAAAAATACAATATGTCTCATTACGTGTGGTCTGTGTTGGTTACATATGACTCTAGATTCTTGTGGAACTGTAGAAGAAAAGTTACAAAGTAAAGCAGACAATCTTTGGGTTTATGGAAAACATGAAAAAAATAAGAACAAAGCAACTGTTCTTAGATATGATTTTTAATGCAATCAAACAAACGTTGGAAAAGCACTATAGGATTCATTAAAATCAATGTCTAAGGCCCAGTGAAGATTGAGACATATGTATAGAAATAAGACTTAAGGCTGCTAAAAACAAGAAATGCTTTGTTTGAGGGTTGGTTTACTGTGTGTGCAGTGAGTCTGGAGGTCATGAGGATGTAGTGTGGCTTGCTATTACGTTGCCTAAGGGATAGAAACAATTCCTTTTATTTTCCTTAATAATTTCCTCAACATTTATGGCTTTCTGCACTTGAGGCCCACTATTCTGTTACAAGATTGGAATATAACTATTAATTTTAGTTCGATGTCTTTGGGAGATGCATTCTGCTATCCACACGATATTTCTTATTTCTTGCTCCTTCAGCTTTGTGTATGCATAAAAGACACCATAGTGGAATTGCCTGTTGAATGCCAGTACATTCATTTGTACCTGAGGAAGAAAAAACAATATGGACCATCAGCTTATGTGGAACATACTACATTTTGGAAATAATATTAAGCTACAAACTGGGCTTTTGCTTTTGCAGTGCTTCTTTGGTTTAAATAGACAATGTCCAAACTGGATTAAATAGAGGAAAACAGTAGTAGCTCAGAAAGTATAAAGGGAGAATGTCACTCTGCAGGTAAAGGTAAACAGCAATAATTTAAAAAGCAAGTTCATACAGTGATAGACCAGTACCAAATCTTAACAATACTGCTACAGATTCCTAGGAGAGCCTTGGTGTGTAAGTGTGTATTATGTGTTTAACTTTGTAGTAATATTTATCTGATTATCAGCCAGTGCATTTCTCTCCTTTAGGTAAAGTATTTTCCCTTGGGCACCACCTTCAATATTTTAAAAAGTTTTTAGGCTGCTAAACTCTCTTCTGGGGCAATGTCACAGGTCCTTGGAATTCAGACTTAGGAGACACAATGAGCTTTCTTAGGCTGCTCTGCAGCAACTTGGCATGTAGTAGAACTGACTTTTTTCTGCAGAAGGTATATCAGAAAAAGAAAAGTTTCAAAAAAAATTGGTTAAGCTAAGATAAAGTCTGAAAGGGAAAATTTTCTTTATTCTTTTCCAATTTGCAAATGAGGAAGAAAGGTGCCTAGTCCTTCATACATTTCTCATGAAAACCTCCAACAAAGTAGCCTGCAAGTGGAGATGCTTGCTGTCAGGAATTGACATACATTTTTTTTCTGCCAAAGGCAGCTTCCCAACAACCTACTTTGCAGCAATGGTACCATAGTGTGAAATTTTAAAACATCCTTAAAAGTGAAATACAATGAAGAAATAAGTAAAAACAATGCCAGTAATAACATATGGAACTACTTACATTGTTTTACTTACTTCTATAACAGACAATGGAGAGCTTGTTGGAAAATGTCTGGAGTAGGCCTTACAGGAAGACCCTATATTACTTTCTAGAGCCAGTCTAACCTGAAAGTCTGGGTGAATGTCAACGTTCTCTGTTAGTTCAATCAGATTGAGCTGGAAAGGCCAGTGGTTTTAGGGAAGTGAATTGAATACACCAGGAAAATTCTATAGATTTGGGGGAACTTCTCCAGTAACAACTCTACCGTTCTTGCAAAATCCTTTTGTTGAACAGTTTAACAGACCAGGAATTGACTATAAATGGATTAAGTTCTCTTCTGCCTATGTAGGGAATGAGAGTAATCTAGATTATCTGGATGTATTTTTCCATACAAATAATTCTTCAGTGCTAACATTGTGTCCATGACTAGTATTTTATTCACAGATGAATCTTTTTTGAAGAAGGAATGTATTAGAGTGTGAAATTCACCTAACGGAGTGTGCATCATGGGGATAGTAAATACATCACCATGAGAATGGTGTTTCCCTATTTAATTATGGGATAACTTGTTTCCCTATTTAATTATGGGATAACTATATTCCTTCTGAAGTTTCATTGAATGCCTATCTGTCTGGGTAGAGTAATTCCAGAAGAACCACCATAATGAATCACAAGATCCTGCCTGTTCAATCCAGTGATACCAACTAATATCCATTGCTGTCAAACTATGAATGAGCCTAATCAATTGGCTTAGTCAACAGTAAAAAGGAAAGCCAAAGGAAGAATCGAGAGTCAGAGAAGAATAGTATACAAGCTAATAGCATTTCCAATTACATCATACCTCACGTTCATAAAACACATCCTCCAAAGTCTTTCCCCCATTGCCTTCACTTACAGCCTCGAACAAAGGCTTGTATACCTTAAAAACAAAGACAAAGAATGTGGATGAATTCTAGCTTCTGCTTTATTCAATCCTACAAGACAATAACCAAAAGCAATTCTACTCTCAATGTACTCTGTTGGACCCAATTTTCAAGGTTGTTTTTCAGGGCCAGGCTAGGTAGATAGACATGATAGAGGCTCAGTGAGTACTTGCGATTTGATCAATATGGGCTCAAGCATTCCTTGAGATGATAACTCATAAAATTCACATGGACTTTCAACTGTGGAAGGGGTAAAAGTTGGAGAGAAACTCAAATTTAATGGTATGCTAAAAAGCCTCTGGTAATGACACATGCAATGTTATGAAGGTTTACGCCTTGTTTGTTGAAGTTCAGGGTTTCAAAATTCCATAGGAAGGGTCTCCCTGGTGGCACGAGGGGTTAAGACACAACCTATGAAGCTGTCCACAGCCTCTGTAGCATGAGTTCAATCTCCAGGCCGGCCAGAGAGCAGCCTTTGCTGTCTTGCCCGCTGTTCCCCTCAGCAGTGTACTTCAGTCAGTCTGCCTGTTCTGTTCCCACTCTGTCTCTGGTGAATCCTCTCACACACCCCCACCTCTGGTCTGTACCCCAGCTCTTGTATGCATAAATAAATAAATCTTAAAAAAAAATTCCCTAACATAAAAAATTCCATAGGAAGCTATAAAAGGAAGGCCATTCTAAGTCCTGAATAACACACATAACCTGCAGGCTCTGTATGTTACTGTCTGCAAGTCACAAGGATGGAGTCAGGGAATGAGGTGTATAAACTTGAGCAGAAACCCCTCCATTTCTTTAAGAGAAATTGGATAATGGAGTAGAGGAAAAACATAAACAGACCTCTTTTCATTCCCTATTATTGGCCACTGAGCAAAGGGAGAGGTATAAACTAATATACTCATATTGTCCCTTGTATTTCAAGTAGACATCCTGTACCTAACCTTGTTTACCCAATGGGCACTTGAAAGAACTGTTGGGTCAGGCTATTTTACATGACTTTGACATGAGCTCACATTTCCAGAACACTGCCCCAGTCTCTCAGGGAACTTGCTTTATCAAGCACTTCAAAAGAAGTGCTCAAATGACCACTTCTTAGATATTTAAACAAGAGCTAGCTTGGCAGGAAACTTAAAAAACACCAGCTTGGGTTAGAAACTTCAAGAATTTGTTTGGAAGAGACAGAGCAAGAAATACTGCTTTCTACCTTACAAACATTCTATTGCCTTTGATAAGAAGTGCAAGTTTGATGTGTGGACTTCCAAAGTATACAGGATGAAATAAAGCAAACATTAGGGAAAGTAAAAACATACTCCATAATGATCTGCTACTCTCTTCATCTGCTCGAAGTCTTCTGCTTGGGCCAATAGGCGTAAGCCCTCTGGATTGAGCTTGCCACACGTTGGGTAGAGGGTCTCCCGGTCATCTTTGCTCAAGTCAGTGCCAAAGGAATTAAGAGTGATGGTAAAAGCACGTCTGTCGGCCTCAAACTGAATTTTGAAGACATAAAATCAGTGAAATCTAACCATCAACTCAATGCTGTAAACTGAAACCTAAGTAGACAAATTCATTCTGAAGTGATTTGCCTTCCTTTTTAGATCTATATCTAATGATAATACAGACATGTGTTATTAATGTTCCCCTAGTCTTTCATAATGGAGTAACTTTGCTTGCCAGAGAAGCCTCACACAACACAATTCTGGCCAATGGCTGGAGATGCCACTGAATGCTGGTTCACAGGGACTCTGCAATTAGTTACTTATGTGTCTGTCATGTAGACCACTAGACTCTCAGACGTCTTTTTCATTGAAATGGGAATGATGCCTACTTGTCAGGGCCCATTCAGGGACAGAAGAAATCATAAGGGAAGAGAAAGTATATGCTATCCAAGTTAGCATCCCTGACTGATTACTGATGTCAGTATAATTTTTCACATCATGATACTTCATACTACAGATCATTTGCTTGTACTTTTATTGTCTTGCTTACTTTTTAAAGTCCTAGGTTAGATATCAACAAATCTAACTATGCTGAACTTTCCCGAATTGGAAAAAAAAATCTAACTCTAAGAATTATGTGACTTGGGACAAAGTTATCTTCCTCTGAGGGCCTTGGTTTCTATATTTTTAGCATAATGGGCACACAGGGTCTTTCACAGGTATGTGTGCTCATAGCTTGTTTTCTCTGTGGCATGGCCAAATAGGATCCTCAGCAAATGTCAGGCCTCTTTTGTACATCTACCCACTCTTTCTTGAAAGTTCTTTTTATTCCTTTGTTCTCCATGTTTCTTTGTCTCTTGGTTCTCTTCCTACCTACTCTGTTTCATCTCAGACTGCCCTGCATGGGCTGTTTCTCTCCAACAACTGATGTTGCCCAAGTATCCCTGGGCTAAGAAAGTTTTCTCATATAAGTACCCTGAACTTACCACATTATTTTGAAATCTACAGGTATTTTCTTCCACTACATTCTAAAATCATTGAGGAAGCATGTTTCTCTTGTTAACTTTTTTAATATCCAGTGCTTGAGATATTGGAAGATCTTAACTATTTGCTGAATGTAACAGAATAAATTATAATTCTACTACTTTTTAAATTCTCCAATATTTTCTACACTGTTGCTACTCTGGCTTCATTTCCTGGACTAATGGCTTTGACATTGCCTTGAAGTTTGATAGCAATATAGACATTTAGGCCATGGTCCAGACCTAATTAACCAGAATGTGAAATTTTTAAAAATTGAGGTCAAATTGGTTTGCACTCTATGTGATTCAGAGGCATAGGGTCACACTTCCTGAGATGCATGTCACTACACCACAGAATCTGAGATTCCAATGCACAAAGAAGCAGAAATGAATGTCTCTATGATAGCCTCTGGTTAGCTTATTTTTAATTAATTAACCAATAACAAATCCAGACTTGCAACATATTTTACCGGAACTCTTGTTAAGACAGGTGTTTCCTAACATGAGAATGTGAGCTAGTTCCTGATTCTTTGATTGCTCACATGGAAATTATGGGTGAGCCAGAAAAGGGGAGTGGCCTCTGTTGGAGCAGAAGCAGCTGCCCCTGGCTACTGAATATAATCACTACAGTCAGTAATTTTACACCTTTTAGGGATAAGAGAAGAAATGCAAAAGGAAGATTTCAGGGCAATAAGAAACCTTGAAATAAAAACTTAGGCAATAGGAGCAACAATAGAGATAATTGTGCCAGCCATTCTTCAGCATGTTTTCTAGTTCTAAAATGTTAGGATTTTAGGAGGGAAATAGAGCCGGTGGACAGCACTGCAGACACAGAGGGCAGCAAGAGCCCATTCTGCAGGAGGAAGCTGTGTGAAGTAAAGCATGACACTTAGGAGCGATGCACCAGCTCCAACACTGGGCATGCAGCTGGAGAAGCAGGACAGACAGGTCACTGGGAGAATACCTGAAAGGCGTCACATTGTCATGCCAACAAGAGAGGACTTTGAATGATACAATAGTTTATTTGAACACTCCCTATACTTTCCAGCTTCTTGTCCTTGTTAATCATTTTCCCTTTGTCCACAACACTGGAAACCCCATTCTCTAAGCTTCCAGGTTGAAATTCTACCTGTTTTTGAGAGTCCCATCATATGTCATCTTTTTTCTATTTGCCCCTAATTGGATGTGATTTTCATGGACTCCCTATTATACTTAAATTTCACTTTTATTATAACTCTGTATATCCACCTTACTATTTTCTGAAGTTAAAAGCTCTTTGTGTTCAAACATCTGTATTATCTTAGTGAAAAGAACAATAATTTTGAAATTGTAAAATGGCTATGTTGTCTTTGGGCATCCTTGGCAGACAGTTTGACCAACATCTGATTATGGAAGAGAGTTCATGGTGTAGAATTAGTTTCCCTTAAGCCCTGTACCATTTGCAGAGGGTTGGTGTCCTGTTGGCACAGTGTATGTTGGATGTCCTATGTCTTTCCTTTCACTGCTCCCTACAAACACTTGTTAATTAAAAATACCCAACAGTTTTTAGTGTTGTTGCAAAAGAAAACAATATACTATTGACTTGCTCAAAGTCATTATGAGTTGCACATTTTAAAGTTGGGCTGATCAGATTGTACGTTATTGCCCCTTTCTTACTGGAAGAAAGAAATACCTGGTGGGAGCAGTGGGTGGAGGGATTGAGTGCAATAGAATGAAGTGAACTGGAATCAAGTCCAGCCTTATCAAGTCCTGACCAGGGAGATGAAATAAATACACCCTGTGCTTATTTTTCACTGTTTCGTGAACCACATAGCAAAGTCAAACAAATAACAAAAAGCATAAAGGCAAAGAGTACACCATAGTGCATTTGCCTTGAACATAAATCAATTTCTTTTTTTTTCCATAATGAATGGCAATCTTGTAATTAGGTCAACTTTTCAAATGCAAGCCTAGATTCTACCATATGCTCTTTTCTACCAGAGTAAGTCTTTTGAAGTCTCCTGTCAAAGGAGAATATATATGGAAGAACTTTATAAACTATAAGTGCTGTTTAGTTATACAAATGAAAGGGAAGGTAATGGCATGATGTCTATGTGTAAAAACGATAAATCTCTTCTGATCATATCATTAGAAAGGTTATAACTGCATACCAGATGTAACTGATATTTCTATATAAATGCACAAATAGTTTTTTTTTTATTTTTAACATAGCTTGAACAAAATCTAACCTAATATGGTTGTATAGTAGATATAGGAAGGGACAGTGAAAACCCTGAGCATGTAATAGTTCAATTAAATCCTCCCAGAGAGGTACATTCTTTTAATACTGTTCAGTCCTTTACATATTGTGGAGTATTACGAGTACATTCCTATCTATTTCTGATTTTTATAGTATATTCATGTGATTCTGCTTATGACCTAGCATTTACTTCAAGTCAAAAGAATTGTAAATGGTAAGTTTAATGTAGAGGTAATATGACAACAGATAAACATACAGGAATAGGAGTCAGGTTGTCTGAGGGTGACATTAGCCTTCTCTATGCCTTAGTATCCCCTTGTACTATTGAAACATCTTGTACTATTGCCAAGTGAATGCATGTATCTAAACACCTAGGTTAGCATCTGGCACTTAAACATTAGCTATTAATAGTGACATTGTATATTGTTTATAAGGTTACAAGTTTTTGCATAATCTTTATTTCACATATTTTGTTGGTATTAAGAATAGGAACCAATTCTAAACCACAATAATTATGCCATGTAGAATCTAAACTTTTGAGCAATAGGTAATGTGACTTCTTGCTGACTTCCTGGTGTGTAGCTAGTAGCTACATTTATGAAAAGAAAGAGTATCACTAGGTTATTCATGTGATCAGCATATCTGGGACAAATTTGTTTTCTGACATTCAGTATGCATGAAAAAATGTTATTCATCAATCACCCCTTTCTATAGAATAAGGACAAAAATAGTTTTTTTGAGTTCCCAGTGATAAACTTTTTTCTTCAGGGCTGTTTTTGACTTTAAGAATTTTAACAGTGGATTGCAAGGTGTCTTTAACCATAAAATTTAAATGATTAGATGATTTGAGGGGAACTAATTTTATCATATGTGGCTCCAGAATAATAGGTTAAAATATATGCAGATAAAGTTATTCAGAGTTCATTTTCTCCTTTTTTTTTTGCCCAAAAGGTATATCTTACCAGGTTTTTCTTGAAATCAGAAGTCACTAAGCTATTTAAATATCTTTCCACCAGTGAAGTTACAGATAATCTAATGATTAAAGATTCTCTTTAGACAAAGCTTAGTTTCACAGGGCAAAGCAAGGGCTTAGAAAAACCCCAAATGGTATCTTTTATTTTTTAAAAATTAAGTGATTTAGGAAACCAACGAGAGAGATCTGTAACAAACACCCAGAGCAAACTCTGCCTAGCATGTGCCTCCGGTCCTCGGGAGGTCTGGTCTCAGTCTCCCACACAGGCAGATTAATATTTTCAAGGAATTGGGCTTCTGAGCACAGATGAACTCTGTGATGATAAAGAGGAATTAAAAAGAGTATTGTAGTCCCCTTGTCCACAGGGAATATCTAAGACCCCAGTGGATGCCTGAAAACATAGATAGTTTCAAGCCCCATCTACCCGTGTTTTTCCTACACCTACATAAGATGAAGTTTACTTTACAAATTAGACACAGGGCCTCCCTGGTGGCGCAAGGGGTTAAGATGCAACCTATGAAGCTAGCCACAGCCACTGCAGCATGAGTTTGATCTCCGGCCAGGGAGCTGCCCACATGGCGCAGCAGACCTCTCCTGTCTCATCCGCTCCCCTCAGCAGTGTACTTCAGTCAAATCTGCCTGTTCTGTCCCCACTCTATCTCTGGTGAATCCTCTCACCCCCCACACCTCTGGCCTGTACCCCAGTTCTTGTATGCATAAATAAATAAATCCTAAAAAAATAAAAAAGAATGCCTAAAGTCCACCAACTACCTATAGTGTAGTAAATTTTTAGCTAATTAAAATCTATTGTTGGGCCTCCTCAGTGGCGCAGCGGGTTGAGCACAGTGCTGTGAAGCTGTCCACAGGCTCTGCAGCATGGGTTCAGTTCCCGGCTGGCCAGGGAGATACCCACATAGCATGGCAGACCTCTCTTGTCTCGTCCGCTGCTCCCCTCAGCAGTGTATTTCAGTGGATCTGCCTGTTCTGCTTCCCACTCTGTCTCTGGTGAATGCTCTCAACCTCCCACACTTCTGGCCTGTACCCCAGTTATAAATCTAATATAAATAAATCTTAAAAAATTTTTTTTTAAAAATCTACTGTCTTCATACAATATTGAAGTGAATCATGATCAAGCTCTATTATTTCCTATTCCAAAGTAACTCTTCTATGTGGAAAACTTGTAATTAATAAATTGTATTGTCTATTTTATTGCTAGATAAAGGAGCTGCTAAGATAAATATAAAGAGTACTATGTAAATAGAGTGTATATATACATTATTTATCATAAAAAATTCAAGGACTCTTACCTCAAGAATGGGACACATGATTTCTGCTGTGACATCACCATGATTCTTGCAGAATTTATAGAATGCCTCGAGGTAAGACTCAAAAACAAACATAATAAACAATACAATGAACATATCTTCCTTTTGGAAACTTCTAGATCAGTTTTTCATGGCTTATTGAACACTTTGATGAAAATTGAAATACTTCTCCCATAGGGAGATATTTTATAATAAATTTGGCACAAATTTATTTTGTACCATACTGCACACCTAGGAAAGAATTCCATAAAAGAATAAAATCACACTTAACATACCTCATAATTAGTTAACAAGCACCATTGTTTGCATGCTTCTTGGATTATGTCACATGGCTAACTTTTGCTATTTTAACAAGAGTGCCATTCTCTTTTATGGATCAGAAAATTATTTTAGGTCATTTGGACCAACGCTAACATTTAATCTCTCTTAGTGCCCAGGAGACACCCTTGGGATGACTTTGAGCATGAAGGTAAACTATAAAGGCAATGTAGAGTCTGGGGTAAAGAGTCTGGGCTATGGTTGAATGCCAATACTATAACTCACTAACTAACTGACTTCTACCAAATAAATCTTACCTCTCTGTGCCTTGCTTTTCTCATCTGAAGACTAAGGAGAGCACATCATCATGCTGAGTGGATTAAATAAGTTCATGCTTATAAATTGCTCTGAACAGCGCCTTCTACTAGTTATCTCTCAGGGATGCCTATTGTAAGGCCACAACTCTCTTTAAAAACTGGAAAATAGGGCCTCCCCTGTGGCGCAGCAGTTGAGTGCTGGGTTGCAAAGCTGCCCACAGCCTCTGCAGCACCATTTTGATCCCCGGGTACCAGCGAGGGTCCCACATAGACCTCTCCTGCCGCCACTGCTCCCCTCAGCACTGTACTTCATCAGTCTGCCTGCTCTGCTCCCCACTCTGGCTCTGGTGAATTCTCTCACCCTCCCATGCTTCTGACTGTACCAGTGCTTGTATAAACAAATAAATAAATATTTAAAAAAACAGCTGGAAAATAACCTACACAGCAATGTTTCAGATTAACATACAATTTCTTTGGCATGGCAGTATATATCATTCAGTTACTCTGAATGAAGTAGTCAAAGATGTATGTGTGTAAGAGTGAACATGGACAGATTTCTTTTACTCTACATTAGAGAGTTACTTCCAATTGGCAGCATAGTCCAGCCAAACATCTGGTTACATTATACAAAATGGTACATATGATGTAGTGTCCACAAGTTGGTCATCTTGGTATGCTGCACATTGTCAGCAGTTGATTAGAATCTTGTTGACAGGTTCTCTGGAACAGGATTGAGGACAGAGTTTGACACTGTGTAACACAAGGTTCACAATGGATGCTGATTGCTTTAAAATGGATTAATATGGTTCATCCAACTAATCTATCCACTGCACACCACACATATCCTCTTGACAGCTTTTATGTTCCAGGCACCATGCAAAGAGATAGGGGGTATGTTACTTTCTTTCAATAGTTCCCTGGCTGAGAAAAACTGACACATATGTATTACCTGGAAGACAGGCCAGGACAAGAAAAGCTACATATCAGGTAGGTATAACTCTTCACAACCTCAACAGTTGGCTAGTGGACGAAATAACTTTTAGTGAAGAACTCTGGCTATGATATACCATGTAATAAAGAAAAACAATACATGGGGAGCTTGTTACCTTGTACAGTTTATTTCGTAGTATTTCAATATTCAGCTCATCTAGAATATTCTCAGACATACAATCTTGAAAGAATGGAGCTGAAAACAGAGAATGTCAAATGAAGTATATTATCCACAACATGATTATAAACTATAATAATGTCTCCTGAACCAACGACCCTGTGCTCACCCCCGATGAGGACACAGATACAGGCAATCAGACTGACAGTAGTGATGACAATAGGAGAGATTATTTACTATCGACTATGTTTAAGTCTTACACTAGTCTTTGGATATACCTTAATTTATTTAATCTTCAAAATATCTTGGGACTATTCACTTTAAGTCTTACTTTTAAAAATCACCTCCATTATCTAACAGTAATATTTACCACTGGCAACCTTCCTGTATGCCAAGCATTGAGTTGTACTAAACTGTGCCTTATTTAGCCTTAAAATTCTATCATAGTAAGATACTATTATTTTTAATCTAAACTTCAGGTCATTTGGCATATACTCTGAGCATCTCAGAAAAATTACATTATTAAGCTTCCTAAATTTCTTATATGCAAACTTATTTAGATACAAATTTAAAATAAAAATGTAAGAAATTAATCATATAAAATTCAGTTAAAAATTAAATTTTTGCAAAATTTTATTCATTTATTTACTTACTATTATCTAGTGCAAAGTACAATGGTTTAGATGTTGGGAGATGAGACCCAGCACCTTCTTGGCTACAAATGATTTGTTTGTGATCCTGGAGTGGCTACTTCATTTGTCCTGACTGAAAAATGAAAGACATGGACTACCTGATGATTCTTTAATGTCCATTCCATTTTTAGGAATCTGCATAATATGGCATAGCATTCATGGAGAAAAATTGTGAATTGAATGTACAGCTTCTGATGACTGTGATGACATACACAGACAACTGTATAACAACTTATGCATTCATACCTAATGGTGTTTCAACCAGAACAGCATTGAAGAGATCAGAGGGTGTCTCTGCAATGTTGACGGCTTCCATTTCTGTGAACCGGCCCAATGGGTGGCATTTCACCAGAATTTCTTTCACAGATTTTTTTTGCAATGCACCATTCATCAGTAGAATCACATTGTCTATCATGTAACTGCACCTGGTTTAGAAGATTCAATTGTTAGCAGAGTGACTCCATGAAGGTAAGAAGCATCCCACAAGTAAAAATGAAGCAGTTTGGGTACGTAGTTTTTTCATTAAGCAAATATAATTGAGTGTCTTTTTATTTTCAACTCTAAGATTTGAGAAATGTGGATGGGTGTGTCATAATTTGAAAAACTGTATTCAGTGTTATAATAAGAGACTTAAAGCATTTCACTGTAATTTAATTCATTTAAGTACATGAAGCCCATCTTCAAGCATTCAAAGTTTATAATATTTAAAAATGATTGCAAATAATTGTCAATTTTAATATTAAGATATTAAATATTTAATATTAAATTAATGATTGAGACATTCTATATTTTTTCTTCCTAGGAGACCAGAGAGCAAACTTTCTAGCTTTTTGCCTTAGAGTCCATAGATTCATATTTTATGCCATTTCTTTCCTCAGTGTAAGTCCTACCCAGATATTCAAGTGCAAAATTTGTTCACTCACGCATTCAACGTCTAGGATATTCTGAACAACCAGATTGAGGATTAAAGAGACACCGTCCTTCCCTTCACAGAGAATATGGCTTAATGGAGGAATAGGACAAAGAATCTATTACAGTGAATTGATGAAACATACATGCTTTGTACAGGAAATCACAGGGTGATGTAGGGCTTCAGAGATGGGCACTAAACCAGTCTGACATGAGCTGCCCTTGAGAGTGACGTTCACACTGACACTTGCAGACTAAGAAGGAGTTGTTAGGGCCCCAGTGGATGAAAACTGGGGAAAACTGGGAAATGAAGAAGACAACAAGAGACCTAGAGAGTAGAGCACAAGGAAATGCTTCTGCCTGGGGTTGAGCCCTGGAGGTGGGGTGTAGGCTCAACACAGGGTCCAGACAGGTAATAGAGAAATTTGGATTTTAAGGGTCATGGGTGATACCAAGTGTCTTTAAGTAGAAGGGAGTATTATGGTCTATGTAGAATATGCACTAAAACAGAAGATGTGAACAGTTATGTAGTGAGGTCCTTTATAAAAGTTAATTAATTATGATAACAACAGTGTGGTGATTATAGGTATTGTTATTTATATTTTACAGTGGAAGAAGCAGAGAGGTAAAAATCTCACCCAAGACGACACAGCTTATAAATGAGAGAACTGATACCAAACTCTGGAAGTCTGCTTCTGGCATCTTTCTCTTATGCCTCATACTACACACAACTAATGGGTAAGTTTCAAGACTTAAAGGTTAGCTTGTGGAGCCATTTACTGAGATAAGAGTATTAGAAGAGAAGCAAGTTATAGCTGGAGCAGATGTTTTAGACAGAATGAATTTATGATGTCTGGGAGATATCCAAGAGAGTATGCCAAGTTAGCCTCAGAAATCTGAGTCCTGAAAACAGCTGTGGAGCAGAGACAGGAGTTGGTAATTTAAAGGTAGAAGAGAAAATCTTAGGAATGCTTGGGATTACATCCTGGACTCTAAAAGCTCTGTCTTCAGAACTCTAGGGAATCTCAACATATAAGGACTTTGAACGAACTTGAGAAGGAATAACCACTGGTAAGAAGAAAATCAGAAAAGAGGATTCTAGGAAGTTCTGGAGAGTTCTAGGAAGAAGTGATCAGAATAGCAAAGGTCCCAGGAAAGTCAAGGTAAACATTGAAAGAGGTTTCCTGAGAATACAGTGCAAACTTTCCCAGTTGTGAAAGGGAGGGGAGAAGACATAAACCTGATCACAGTGAGTTATAAAATAAGTGGGCAATAGAGAAGTTCACAAAACAAAAGTTCAAATTATAAGTTGATATTAAAGGGAGAGAAAGAAAACTCTATGGAGATCTAGGAGCCAAGGGAGTTTGAGTCCTGTCTTGTTTTTTGAAGACATGTCCACAAATGTGGACATGTTTAAATGCTGAGGGAAAACGGTGCAGCTGCAGTTCAGAAGAGGGAAGATAGTCAATTGATGAAGTCCTTTGGGACTCAACCACTGCCACAATTCAGGCTTGAAGAAGAACAAATTTTCACTAGATAAAAGTTAACTTAGGGCCTCCCTGTTGGTGCAAGGGAATACATCACAGCACTATGAAACTATCTGCAGCCACTGCAGCACGAGTTCGATCCGCAGCCAGGGAGCTACCCACATGGCACAGAAGACTTCTCTTTTCTCCCTGTTGCTCCCTCAGCAGAGTATTTCAGTAGATCTGTCTATTCTGGGGCCTCCCTGGTGGTGCAAGGGGTTAAGCACCGCACTATGAAGCAGTCCGCAGCCTCTGCAGCACGAGTTCAATCCCTGGCCTGCCAAGGAGCTACCCACATGGCACAGCAGACCTCTCCTCACTGGCCCGCTGCTCCCCTCAGCAGTGTATTTCAGTCAATCTGCCTGTTCTGTTCCCCACTCTGTCTCTGGTGAATCCTCTCACCCCCTCCATCTCTGGCCTGTACCCGAACACTCTTATGCATAACTAAATAAATCTTTAAAAAAAAAAAGCTCTGTCTGTTCTGCTCCCCACCCTGTCTCTGATGGATCCTCTCATCCCCCACTCCTCTGGCTCTTGTATGCATAAATAAATAAATCTTTTAAAAAAAAGTTAACTTAGGCACTTAGATGCACCTTTACTGCAGTCTGGCTGCACAGGTTCCCAGCTTCCTGTGCAAGAACAAATTTCAGCTTGAAAAGAGTCTCCTTCATTGTGAGCTTCCACAATTTAACCAGATAAAAAGTCTAATGGAGATTTGAAGCCGGCAATTATCCCTTCATAAAAAGCACATGGCTGTACAGTTTCTTCACCTCCCAAACAACAGTACCAAATTTAAACATTATGGAATTTTAAAATCTTTTTTATCTCTTGAAATTGATATTAAAATGGAAGTGCTTACTTAACTGTGCCTTTATGGCTCAAAAGCTATTACCTGGAAGGGGAATTGTCAGCACTTAATAATCCTTAGCAGGCTTCAGACATTTCATTGCTCCCCACAGCACCCCATAATGTAAAAGCATATGAGCTGCCAACATTCCTAGTTGGCAGAGGACTATTAACACAGTGTCAATGGGCATCCAATGTCAATGCTGTATGGATTTAGCTCACATGGAGAACAAGCTTGTATCTTTACAGTGTGTGTATATGTGTGTGTATGTGTGTATGTGTATGTGTTTTGAGCATTAAAAAATTATTTTAACTAATCAGAAGGCTAGGATCTATATAATGGCCATAGAGATTGGGTTCTCTTCTATTTCAACTCATTTTTTTAAAAGATTTATTTATTTATGCATACAAGAACTGAGGTACAGGCCACAGGTGTGGGGGATGAGAGGATTCATCAGAGAGAGTGGGGAACAGAACAGGCAATTTGACTGAAATACACTGCTGAGGGAAGGAGCACGTGAGGCAGGAGAGGTCTGCTGAGCCATGTGGGGCTTGTCCCTGGCCGCGGATCAAACTCATGCTTCAATGGCTGCAGCTAGCTTCGTAGACTGCGCCACCAGGGAGGCCCTCAACTCATTATTTAAGTGACCTTATTTCTAAGATGAGACAAAAACAAGTTTTCAGGGTATTCAGGAAATGAAATGAGAATCCAAGCCTTGGTTCAAGAAAAGGGGGGAGGGGGATGGGTGTCTCTTTGCAACTCCCTCTCTCATTCCCATCACACTTATCAACCAGGTATATAGTAACCATTGGCTCTTTGGGGTGGCAGGGGGATAATCTGCTCTGAAGAGTTTACTTTTTCTGGATTTTTAAATAATTTTTAAAGACCTCTAGGGCCATGCATAGGGTACTTAGAAATAAAGTCATTGCTGATGTTGCCTGAGGAGTTTTTGAGCTTAAAGACATTTGGGCAATCACCTAGTTCAACCCCCTCTTGATTTAGGTAACTGGCCTCCTAAGGAATGACAGACTCAAGATTAGTGCCCATTTACCAATTAGTGACCATCTTTCTCCTATCCATGGTTGAGACAAACATCTTCATTTTCAGCTTTTTCTAATTATTTTATTTAGTAACTCTGATACTAGCACTTGAGAAAATAATGAAATCATTTAACATGATGATGGAGTAAATAAAGCAATTTCAAAAATTTTAGGTTGTAAAAATATATTTTTTAATGTCAACCCCTTTGAGGTTTTCGCAATGTGCCAGGCATTGCATACATGTTCTCACTCAAATGCCACAATTCAATGTTGTAAAGACCATTATTGCCAGCACTTGACATATTGGAAACTGAGGTACAGGTGTTTAATATCTTCTTCAAGGTCATGCTGATGGAAAGAGAAAGGACATTTTAGTCTTACAGCTACTTTCTCCTTTTGCTCCCAACCTTATTTAGTGAAGATGATTATCTAAAATGCATTTCTTCTATGGGACTGTTAAATTCTAGATTGATAAAACAGTTGTTAAATGTTCAAATAATATAGAGCCATAACTTGACTAGTTAGAGGAACTATTCGATAGATAAAAATTTTAAGTACTTCAGTAGAATCAGCAATAGCTGAGAAATCACTGTGATTCACTTAGTACTCTGGCATGAGACAAGCAAAATATCTTTTAACACAATTCGGTGAAACTAAAACAAGTTCAGAAAAAAAATGTGTCTGATCCTTTCTGAGGATACAGCTACCAAGATGGTGGGCACAGGTGAGAGGTGCCCAGGTGTTGGCTGTCAGATCTTGGACTGAACAGATACTTGCACTCTTTGGTCCTCCCCAAGTTATATTGAAATTCAAGGTATGAAGGAAGACATTCACCAATGGAGTGATGTGAGGGGTTGTGAATAAAATCATTAAAAAGAAAATATATATTTAGAAGAGAGAATAGTTCAGACTGCTACAAAACTTTTAAGGGGCAGGTAGGATACTTTGAAGGAAGGAAGGGTGAGGGAATGTCAGGCAGTTAAGATACGTGAACAAAGTGTGAACAGTGTGTTAAGATACATGAATAAAGTGTGATGGTCTTTAGACAAGCTCATCAACATTGGAGCACCATGTTGAGTCACTGTGCAAATTAAGTAAAACAA